TTCTAATTTCGATTTTTTTTTTTTTTTTGGAATTTGAAAATTTGGTTTGCACTCTCCTCTTCCTTCCTTGATTGCGCCAATTGATGCCACTTACCTTTTACTTCTTCCACAAATGCTGTCAGATCAAATGAGAATTTCCTATCTTAATGAAAGAGCGAAATATTTTGACTGTATTGTTTTTAAGGTATTTTAATATAGTACTTATATTCCATTTGAGTGTGAGCATCTTTATATTTCTATTAAAAGTATTCGTAACTTGTATTTACATTTTTCCTTACTGTCTGAGTATTTCACACAGATCTTTTATCGTTGTCACTATGAATAATCTCAAGGATGCACTTCATTTCTATATTTATTTTCCAGACTGTTATATATAAGAGTGAAAGTATGGCAATCGGTCAAAAAACGACCCCCAAGAATTTTTACGTTTTTGGACTCGGCACCGTAAAACGTCGAAAAATGAAAAAAATAATAATAATAATAAATAAAAGAAAAAAACTATTTTGAAGGAGTCAACATATTTAAAATATACAAAAATTATATTTCAAAAAAATTACTTAATTAAAAATTACGACACATTAATTTTTCTTTCTTTCACGAGATCAAAATATATTGAAGCACCTCAATGTATAATTTCATTTCTCCTGTAAAATCAAAATTTCTATTTTACTTATTATATAATTAATTTAAAAATACATTTTGCAATGATAATGAAAATAGATTTAACATTCATTTGTATTGTTTTGCTTTAAATTTGATTAAATTCTTGAAAACATGGAATTCTTGATCAAAAGCCATCAAGAATTAATTTTAAAAAATAAATCTAAAATGCACATTTTTGTTATTGTAAGAAGCTTTTAATGATGAAATAATTCAGGTTGATCAAAATACTCAAGCTTCATAATTGCTGCTTAATAGACAATTAAACATATAAAAAACTTATAAGTAAATAACAGTAAAAATGGTGATCCAAGGAATAAGCTAGAAAATAAAGCTGCAGACAAAAAGATTTCTGATTCCAAATGAAAACCAAATCCATGTCTTAAAAGTAGTGTATATTTTTCATATGATGTACATTTTTAAAATTTAAAGTAAATATTTTAGAATTTCAATGTTAATATTGAAATCCAATTTACATGTATTAGCATTGTTATTTAATTCATAGTACAGTACTTCTGCTGTGGAAATTTTAATGGTTTGCATATATTACAATTTCAAAAGATTTCTGCTAATCTAATTAAAAATTTGTTTTAATTANTATCAGGGTGATACCTTCTCAGATGATCCTCCAGCTTGAATGCTTTCATAGCGTCATTGCTTAATACTTTGTTGTATAAAAGTCACATGGGCAGGTGTTTGTCCGACAAATGAGGGAATGAAGTCAAACGTCAAATAATAAACTCTGTACTACCAACACTTTTTTTTTAGATTCAGCCGTTTTTAGTAGCATTTATCTGTGGACAAAAATTAAGCTATTTAAATATGATAATACATAGCAATCAAAATTGATTCCCAGTGTAAAACCTTATTTTAATCTTCAGGGAACTTCTATATAGATTTGATAGAGAGAAATCATGTACAGTTCATGTACAGTACCTATCATAGACCTTGTCTTTAAAGATAGGAAGGAAACCATTAATGAATATGTGTGTACCTAGTTGTAATTGACTTGAATATTGAACAATCTTTACCTCAAGTCATGTTGCCACCTTTTCAAAATTGCTGACCTGGACATTTTAAAATTAAGGTGTTATACTTAGAAATAAAAAAATTAGGTTTTTTTATTGTGAGTAGAAAATAAATATTTTTTTTTTATTAGAAGGTAAACATGTACTGTACATGATATATTATTAAAGTAAGACAATAATCACATGTGGCATATCCAAAAATAATTAATAACAGTCTGATGTCGATATTAATTGCAAAAATAATACATAAAAGTAAGAATGATAAATAATAATACATACCAACATAAATACTATTAAGTTATAAAAGATACATTGTATGAAATACAATACATAATATAAATATGAGACACATGCAATGTCATTTTAAAGCCAAGAACTGAACAATGCACATGACAATTTTAAATCAGTTGGGAACTGTGTTCAAACAAACCTAATATTTGCAAGTTAGAATTTTAAAAGAACATTTCTGTCACTTAGCCTAGCGAAAAGATGGGGATAAGTTTTGGTGGGTGTGTGAAGTTAGTCATTAACCATTAAAATAAAATATTTGCAAATATTTTTATAAATTTATTTTGTTTCATAATAATTTCACAATTTCTACAAAAACCGGACAAATTAATAATTAATCCAGACCATGAATTTAAAAACAGGCTTGTCTGGGTGAAAACTGGCCTGTGGCAACACTCAAGTCATTAACAATGTCTTTATGCAATCAGAGAAACTACAAAAAGAAAATTTTATAAAAAAAAATTACTTACTTTTCTGCCATACTTCCAAACAAGATGACATTAATTCACTTAACTAATATGTACCTGTACCTAGTAATTTATTTATATTTTTGAAAATATTGGCTTAACACTTTTCTTCTCAAAATTCAGAAAACAAATGAACTGTGTTTGTCTCTGACATTCATATTTATAATTGACAAATTAAACAAGTCCATGCAAGCACAATTGGTTCAAGTCTGCCCCATCCTTGCAAAGCTCTGGTACAAGTCTGGAAAAGCATTGCTAGTGGTATCAAATGTGCATGTTTTACAAGTTACACATACTGCGACCACAAAGCAAATAGCCTACTTACACAATTTTATGAAATATACATATAATTAGGAAATTTATAAGTCTATTATAAGAAAGTATTACATAAGTACCTACGTAAGTACTATCTGTGTTATTTCATTTACGGGAAGCCAAAATTTTGGTGACGGCCTGCCTAAATGGGATCCACTCTCATGGACCCTCAAATTTTTTTCCACTGACATGGACCCCCTTGCAGGTTGGAGTCGACCTCTGGGGGTTGATATTGATCACTTTAGGAATAACTGATATAAACCAATAATGTAATAAAAGAATTTGACTGTATATTTCTGTAATAAACATTACAGACACACACATATATATATATATATATATCAGTTTTATCAGTTTAAAGGCATTTTATTTGTTTCAAAATTTTCAATTTTTCTTCAAGCTAATAAACAATGGGCTTTCATTGTTTTGCATCAAATAATGGTTGAACGTTGATACCATCAGATTATTTGAATCATGTCAAAAATAGCAATCAAATCATAATATATAGAAGCTAAATCTTCTAAAAATGTAAAAAAAATAGTAACTATAATGATTAAGAAAAGAAATTTTTATTAAGTTAATACAGCCTACATTTTTATTATCATGTTTGCAAAGTAGGTAATGATTTTAAACTTTTATATTTGTGCATTACTTACGTTAAATTAAACTTAAAGTTGAACTGCCACGTACTGTAGCCAGATGGAGTTCCGCCCTCCTCATCAAGAAATGTTAAACCCAATTGTATAATTTTTAGCAGATCGACATTACAGCGTAACAGCTGGTATTGATATTCAGCACTGCTTTTAAATTCACCTATGGGTCGAGCGACAACACCGGGAAATTCTGTATCCTAAAAAGTTACAGTAAAAGAATTAAGACATAAAATAATTAAGTAAACACTACAAAGCTATTAAAGTATCAGATAAACATTAAAGGAATTCAACTTTTTAAAAATCACTAGTTTTTAATATCATATTGAGTTTCATTTTAAAAACTATTTATAACTTAAATTATGGAGAAAAAATTAAAATCTTAATGTACTTGAATGTTCTGAAGCTTCTCATAAGTGAATCAAAACATGATTCTTAAATAATAGATACAAATTAGAGTAAAATTGTAATAAAAAATTAAAATTGAAAATCAATCCCACACAGATGTTCTTTGAAGCAATTTTCAATTTTTTATTTCCATAATTTATTTACATCTAAAAAATTAAATATAAAATGCATATGTGAATAATGGAAAAATATAACATGAAAATACCTATTAGAAAAAATATTAGTGAATCAATTTATTTATATTTTAATAAAAGAAACATGTAAACATGCTATTATTCAAATAAATAAATTTTAATTGTAATTGTATAATAATGCACCAAAGAAATATAATTCCTTTAATTTTTATTGTAGGAAGAGTGAATACAGGGAATAAACTTACCCTGTAATTGCTATTTTTATACAACTTAATGTCAATTTCCCAATACAAAGTGATTTTTTATTTTAATTAAAAATTTATTTTGATGTATGTATTATTACAATAAATTTAAACTTTAACCTATTAATCTACAATTCTGAAGAGCAACAAAACTGACCACATTTTTTACACAATATTGTTATACTTTTATCCAATGCCATATTAGCTGAAAATATAATTAAATGAAAAAAAGTTCAAGGAAGTGTATATGTCAGATATTAAAAATACAAGAAATTATAGAATATAATATTAATCTGTCCACTAATTAGCATTTAAAAAAACTGGCACACCATTAAATTTTCTTGATAGTCAAGACATAAATATAATAGGAAAAACTAATTTCATTTTCCTTCTCATTGTTAAAAATTGTATATAACAAACCTATACAATAAAAATTACCAATTCATTTAAGAATATACTAATACAATCCAGAAGTACTCAACAGAGATAAATTACAAATTTACTACACCTGTGCATTTGCTGAAAGAAATTTTTTTATTAACAAATGTTTCCAGCCTACTCCCAGAGGTCATTATCAGGTTTTTAAATCCATTTTTATAAAATATTCCAAAAATAGAACATTCCATTTAAATTTTAACTTTTGAAGTATTCTAAATACAAATTTAAAGTTAAATGAATTACCTTATATTTTTTCATAATTTATTTATTTAACAAAATACAAACAACAATAAAATTACAAAAAAAATATAAAATACACTATAACACAAAAGCCAAATATGATTATAGGGGGATACATAATTCAGGGTATTTATGTCCTAATCTTTTTTCAATGATGTATTTCCAAGCTGAAGATAATGCATTTGCATCCCTTCAGCTTGAATATACTAACTATATGAATTAAATGCAACTGTTATTAACTTCCATTGGCATATATTTGTAGTAGTAATTACAAATCAACTTAACAATATCTATATTTCTCTGTACTTATTATTTTAAATTTCATATTATAGCATATAACAGCAATTTCAACTAATTTTATAAGAATATATCACATAAAAATTAAATATCACAGAGAAATCTACATTTGAGTGTAATCTATTATGATTGCTTCAAATAAATAAGTTGTAAAATTATTATCCAAATTATTAGAAAACAATACTAAATGCTGGTTTGTTTCCTTTATGTGCTACAAAATTATTACAAATACACCATTAAATTTCTCATATCTCTGATTCCAAAGATTAGCCATTTGCCAGACAGACTGGTCACATGTAATAGTAATCTATCAACAACCTCTAACCCACTAATTATACACCTCCCATGTGTCTAAAGCAGTGTTTTTCAACCTTCTTGAATATGCGACCCCTTTACAAGTTTAAAAAATTCTGGCGACCCCCCACAGCATATTAAAACTATGTCAGTGATTTTAAAAACTACGTATTTAATTTTCTTTCTGTTGAGATTTAAATATCGATCAAAAAACTAATTGTACTGTAAAATAAACAGCTTTCTCACTGAAATTGTAGTTTTTTTTATTGTAGTGTAGGACCTACAAACACTTGTCTTTTTCTTTTACCCGCGACCCCCCGTGTATGGCTTTGCGACCCACCTGGGGGTCGCGACCCACAGGTTGAAAAACACTGGTCTAAAGTATACCTTGGACTGCTAGATATTTTATCTTGGATTGATATGGACTGGTGTTTACACTTGACATCCCACTGACACACTGTTAAGAGCCATAGCTAGGGTTAAATTTAAGCAAAATAAACTAAGAATAACAAAAAATTGTAAAATCACCACCAACAAGTGTAGTCTAAATAATATAAATTATTTGTGGCTATCCAGTAAACTAATCTGGTGGCCACAGGAATTTCAAGTTCTTTCATAATTTTGTTCTGATCAGAGTAGGTGCCAGACATCAGTTGACAGAAATTCAGAGGTGTAGTACCTGTACTATCATTTGTGAAATTTAATATTAAATTAGTTTAAGTGACAATTTCACAATTGAATATCAAAATTAAATATCTACTTGAAAACAATTTTTATTCAATGATAAACATTGAATAATTTGCAATACATCAAATCATAAATAAAATGATATTTGATTAAAACTATTCTGGAGTTCTCTGTCTTTTGTAACTTTAAATATCAAAATATTAATTAAAGTAATAATTTTTTCATTCAAAATAAAGAATTTTAGCAAATTTAAGTTTGATAATTGTCAAAGTTCATTTTCATGTTTTTGCTATTTTCCTCAGTGAAATTTTTGTTAACAGTATCAATGATGTATAGTTAATTTGTTGCAGAGCTAGCTCATTTATTACTTAATAATTCTGATATCAATAACGTCTAAATTTATGTTCGTTTTAATGATTTGTCAAGAAATATATCAACGTACAGTTTTACTATAAGAATTAAGTTCTACTTGAATATAACTTATTTCTTTTTCTAATTTTATGAAAACAACTTCACCCTTGACAGCTTACCAAGAGATAAGTGTTTAGAGATAGAAATGAGCAATGGAATTTATGTTTGATGATCTGCAACCATACATCAGATTCCAAGTGTTGCAAGAAACATCTATGGTACAAGAACTTTCTGAACCAATTATAGATATATTTATAAAAACTCACATCAATGCATTTTTTATTATTTTACCTTTGTAATTACTATATATTACTATTTCAACTATTATTTGTTGTATATATTAATTTAAATATATTCTATATTTAAATTTAAGTGTGATTTGCTAACCCTGAAGATGAATTTGTAATTACTTGAAAATACTCACTTGTTTTAAAATTCTAATCAATATAAAGTTACATTTTATTTGGTATTGTCAAAATATTCTTTTTAAAGTAATGTCCATTTGATAAAAAAATCACTTTGTATAAAGATGATCTTTTGATATTAATATTTTGAAACTTTTACAAAAAAAATTTCAAATTATTATTTCTGTAATAAAATTTTGCATAAATCCTAATTTATTTATAATTAAATATTATCTAAATTAACAATAATGATGTATTATCATAATGATATTCCTAGAGGTTCCTCTCACCATAGCAACATAGCTATATTTTTGTACTATATGTCTAATTGCTTTAAATTCTTCTTCCAAATTCTTGGACCATACATCCTTTATTCCGCAAGCTTCGTTACTAATGTGACATTGATTGTTTATGTTATTGCCAGAACTTAGTCCCGAAGGCGCTCGCATACTTTGTTATCTTGTCATTCAATAAAGTTTTCTGTACAAAACATTAATGATCAGACGATTAAACACTAAGAGAAAAGAAAGAAAAATCAGTTTTATGTTAAAATTAAACAAATATAGCCAATCTTTAAATAAAATGAATAATAAAAAAAATTAATTATAAAGTAATAATCTTTAAACATTTAAGACGTAAACTTAATAAATGCACTAAACCGCAAACTAGAAATAAAATTAATAATAAATTTAAATTTTAAAACTAAATATCAACTTTCAAATTATTAATAATTTTATACTTTTCATATTTTATAATAAATTTTGTTATAAAATATATTTTTAAAATAATAATAATAATAAATAAAAGAAAAAAACTATTTTGAAGGAGTCAACATATTTAAAATATACAAAAATTATATTTCAAAAAAATTACTTAATTAAAAATTACGACACATTAATTTTTCTTTCTTTCACGAGATCAAAATATATTGAAGCACCTCAATGTATAATTTCATTTCTCCTGTAAAATCAAAATTTCTATTTTACTTATTATATAATTAATTTAAAAATACATTTTGCAATGATAATGAAAATAGATTTAACATTCATTTGTATTGTTTTGCTTTAAATTTGATTAAATTCTTGAAAACATGGAATTCTTGATCAAAAGCCATCAAGAATTAATTTTAAAAAATAAATCTAAAATGCACATTTTTGTTATTGTAAGAAGCTTTTAATGATGAAATAATTCAGGTTGATCAAAATACTCAAGCTTCATAATTGCTGCTTAATAGACAATTAAACATATAAAAAACTTATAAGTAAATAACAGTAAAAATGGTGATCCAAGGAATAAGCTAGAAAATAAAGCTGCAGACAAAAAGATTTCTGATTCCAAATGAAAACCAAATCCATGTCTTAAAAGTAGTGTATATTTTTCATATGATGTACATTTTTAAAATTTAAAGTAAATATTTTAGAATTTCAATGTTAATATTGAAATCCAATTTACATGTATTAGCATTGTTATTTAATTCATAGTACAGTACTTCTGCTGTGGAAATTTTAATGGTTTGCATATATTACAATTTCAAAAGATTTCTGCTAATCTAATTAAAAATTTGTTTTAATTAAAATTATTACTATTGTTTTGAGATATTTCATATAATAAAATGTAAGATTTTACTTAACATTCCAATTAATATGAAAACTTGTTTTACTTGAGCAATAACCAAATACAAAACTGAAAACCATCACTTCAATATTAAAGTAAATTACAGTAAAACTAAAATAATTATACTAGAATTTGATTGAAAACATATTAAAACATAATGAACAGTCTTAATAAAAATGTATTATGAAAATATTATTTATATTTATTTATTTAAAATTAAGTAAAGATATAAATAACTCACAGATCATCCTTAATGTTGCAACTACAATAATAAAAATTAGCTTTAAATAATTTAATTCTTAAAATTATCAAAAATATGTAGAATATTCTAAGTAATAAACAGAATTTTTTGAAATCCATTTTTTTAAAATTTTGTATTAATAAAATTAGATTTCAACAACCATTCCATATTAATATAAAGATTCTATTAAATTTGACTGCTAAATTACTAAATTTGTAGACAATTACAAAGTGTCTAATATTTGACTTAAATAAGTTTTCAGAAGAAACAAAACAAATTACAGTGGTACCTCGGTATACGTCTGCTTTAGAATACGTCCAATTCGGAATACGTCCTGTTTGGACAAAACAAATTTTGCTCGGTATACGACATAATTCAATTATATGCACCATCAATAAACAAGTAGCACTATCAGTGTACTAGACCAGACTAGATGTTCGCGGTGCAACGGTTTATAACTTTGTTAAATTTCTTCTGATTTTAATTCGTAAGTAAAATTTTATTATTTTTATTAATCACAAATCACAAAAAGGCAAATGAAAAGCGACAGAAAACTAAAAAAATGACTAGAATTACAATGGAACTGATGAAAGAGATTGTTGAGAAATACGAAGGTGGCACGCGTGTTTGAGATTTTAACTGTTGCCTACCGTATTCCGAGAACAACGATATGGACAATCGCAAAAAATAAAGACATTATTAAATCTGGTAACATTGCAAAGGGGTTAAATCAATTTCTAAACAGAGATCGAAGACATTAGATCATGTCGAGAAATTGCTTTTGCTTTGGATAACTGAAAAACAGTGCTGGAGACAGCGTATCTAAAGCAATTATTTGCAAGAAGGCTAAAAAGATACATGCTGATCTCACGAAAAATCAAGCAGGAACTAGCCAGGAAAGTGAGGTGTTTAAAGCCAGCCATTTTTTTACACGAGAATGGATTAATCATTTTTACATTACTTCTTATGAGAAAGGTTGGTTTGGTATACGTCCAATTCGGTATAAGTCCAAACATCGGGAACGGATTAAGGTCGTATACCAAGGTTCCACTGTATTTAAAAATCTTACAAATAATTTGAATACATACTATGAGAAAATAACTCTAAGTACCTAGTAAATAAATTAATGTTTAAGATAGGAAAAGATCTGAAAATGGAAAACTAATCAGAAGCAAAACTAACTGCTAATAATTTTCTTTTATTAATTAAAAAAGGAAAGAAAGAAAAGAAAAGAAATATAAGAAACAAAGTTGATTTTAGCATACATTTTTATAAATCTCTTGGTTCAATTTCAGCAATTGTCTATATAAAGATCATCAAAATGAAATTTGATGCAATTTAATATATTAAGGTGACATATAAACTAAGCCTATATTCTGAAATTTAAATTCACTTATATTCCTAAATATAGTAAGCAATTTACAAATCATAAAATGCAATGAATAAAAAAATACAGTAAAACTTTGTTTGACGCTACCTCGATTAACATTGATTCGATATAACGCGGTCTGCTCAAAGCCTAAAATAAAAAAGCTCAAAATTTACACTGATTCAAATTATCACAGCAGTTCATTGATTTGTATATAATACGATTATTCCCTAACACAAATAAATCAGCAAAAGTTGACAATTTATCATAGTGCTGTACTTTCCTTAGTAAGACTAGAAGTAGATGAGCAGGATATTGAGGAGTTACTGCAGGTTTCTGGTGAGAGCCTTACCAATGATGATCTTCAAGAACTAGCAAAACAAAGAATTCATGTAGAACTAAAAAATAGCAATTCTGAAAATGAAGAACCCAAAGAAATTCTCTACAGATTTCCTTAGTAAAAGTTTGATAACAATAATCAAAATTGTTGATCAAACTGTAGTGAATGATCCAGATTTTGAAAGGAGTGCAAAAGCAAGACAGGGCGTTTTGGATGCGCTCTCTTGCTACTGACATTTGCTTAATGAAAAAAAAAAAAAGAATGCAACAAATAATCATCACTAGATGAGTTCATCACAAAAAAATCAAGAATTTCAAGAAAGCCAGGACCTTTGTCACAAAAAATGAACTTTACATTTCTGTGTACATATGTTTGTGTGTTATTTAACATATATTATGCAAATTAAAGTACAATTTGTTTATATTTGGTTGCGTGTTCCCCTTTCCCTATTTACTGTGTTCAAATGACCTCATTTAATAGTGTTTTGTTTAGCACTTTGTCATATAGGAACATATCCCACGCATAAGCGGGGTCTTACTGTATTATTGTGTTCTTGAGAGCTTTGTAAGAAGTTTTATTCTTTTATGGAAATTATTTATTTAACTTATATTTATGACATTTGAGAAATATTTTAGTTTGAATATATTTACTATTGATATTATTCAAAATTGAAATTTTCTTGGAATGTTTATATTGTCTGTTGATAAATCTATGCATAAATTATTAATGACATATAAACATTTTAAGAATAAGTGCAACTTTTATAATTTGTAGCAAATTTTTTATCACATGATGCAACATACAATTATATTATATGAGTCTAACTGTAAGAATAATGTTTCAGTTTACCTGTTTATGTTTTGAACAATGTATCTCATAAATGTCATAATGAAGTTGAAAACCAAATAATAATCCATGACAGCAAATAGTTTGCATTTATCTTTATTAATTGTTTAACAACTTCATTCTAAATTTAAGAATATGGCCCTCCTGTTTTAAATAGCTGAAACTGACCAGGAAATTCATTATTTCCTCAAATAAAACTGTGTTGTCTGCTTTTTCATTTATCTTACATATGAAGAATGAAAAAACTACACAATTTTTTTCTAAACATGATTTTTATTTAAATTATTGCCACATAGAAAATTGTATATGCTAATGTTTTACATTAAACATTATATAACACATTAATAAAAATCTTTACACCTTTTCATTTGTTTTGTATTTCTCAAAGTTTATTTTATTTTTATTTTGTTTAAAATTTTATAAATTCTTCATTATGGTGTTCCCGTAATAAAAGTTTTATCTTAATAATTTAAAATGCATAAATTTTTACAGCTGGCATGTTTTTGAACAAAATACACAACAAAAAATGCAAGTCCTTCCAGTAACAACATTTTAACATAATGTGAATGTTGACCTCTTCCTGAGGTCTGCATCAGGTTTAAAGATACAAATTCTGTAACAGAATGTATGAAACAAAACAACTACAGAATTTGAATTTATATCATAAAAATTTAAACAGATTATAAAAATTCTGCAAAATTCAAATTTAAATTGATAAATTGAAAAAGTTAATAAATATTATTGAACCAGTCACGAGTTCAAAGGTGTGAATGGACAGGATTTAGATGTTAAGGTCAGATTGAAGTGCACCTGCCAACACACAAAATTTGTTTTTTGTCTTTACGGTTAATAACTGGCCTGCTCACAGATATGGCTTTAGTAAGCTCTTAATCTATCAATTATCCAATAAGTGTAAGGCCCAGAGTAACGACAGTAACAATACAGATGATAACATAAACAACAAAAGGAAGATGAACACTAAGTAAGTGGTAATTACTTACAAACATCACTTGAATATTATGTATAAACAAATAGCAACACATAAAGGTGCTTACATTGCATATGGGTAACCCCACTCTATATGCACTACTAAGAAACGGTAAAGACACCATAAACAAAGAAAGGGCACCCAGAGTATATAGGATACCCTTGAAAGATCATAAGTTTGACAGATCTCTAGTTTACATAGGTGCCATGAAAAGATTCCTCAAGGAGCATGTAAAAGAGCACAAATATTATATCAACAACACGAAACCACACACCACACTGTCCACATAGACTTCTGACAACAATGTTGAGGCTAAACTTGACCAGACAAGGTTAATATGTTATATCTAGCATAATGATCATATTAGAGATTTAGAGGTGTTAGAGATCTTTAAAGCATGCCAATTCAGCAATCATGTTAACCATAAAGACAAAAAACAAATTTTGTGTGCATGACAGATGCACTTCGATCTAATCTCAACATCTTAATCCTGCCCATTCACACCTTTGAACTCCTGACTGGTTCAAACATATTACATTTTTGAATTTTAACAATATAAATTTCAATTCTGCTGACATTGTTTGATATGGTCCATTATAGAACTTGTACCTTTAAACCTGATGTAGACCTCAGAAGCAGGATGAAAATGTTCCTATTTTGTTAAAATGTTACTGGAAGGACTTAGGTTTTTGTTGTGTATTTTGTTACAGAACACTCCAATTTGCAGAGAAGTTTATTCTAATTAACATTAATACAATCTTGATGATACAAATCTTTAAAGTTTGCAATGAGATAAGTTTGAATTTTTTTACATGTTAAACTTACTGTATAGTGTAACAATCTTTTTCCAAAATTAAAACAAACAATATATGGCATAAATTCTGCGATGAATGAGGAGGTTGGAACCTTATCAGAGCTGTAGACCATGTCCATAGGAGTAAACAAAATGAAAAGGAACCAGTAGTCTACATGTGACACTTTGCAAAGATACAGCTCATCCAAAATCGACCTACCTGAAATTTCGAAGACCCTCAAAAACAGGGTTTTATTTAAAATAAAAAAAGTAAAAAATAAAGTTACTTCTCAAAACAATGCTAAAAATTAACTACTGTATTTACAAATTTAGTAAAAATGGATAAAAGTCCATAAAACTTGTAAAATGCAATCGCATTAACTACTACTCAGGTTATGATTAGAGTCACGCTATAAACATGCTTTTTTATGCAGCACTCAAAGAAGCACTTTACAGTGAACACTCTGAAATCTGTTTCTAAATGGCCAACACTGCTTGTGACGTCCATTTTGCTACACTCTCGCTGCATAAACAAATGCGGCCTACATGTTCCATTACACTTATCACTTGTTTAACACGACTGATTTCGGAAAACTGTCTTGTAAAGGATAACATGTAAACTCCCAGTTCCTTTTGGCTTTTTTACTTCTATGGGCATGGTCTACAGCTCTGATATAGTCCTAAGTGCATATAGCTAGGACTGCTATAGTCCTAAATGCAGATCAGAATGATGCACATTCTGATCTGCATTTGTGCACAATGTACTATATCATCATATTCTATATTTATTCTGAATTTGAAACTAAGCCTCAGTTATTCCAAATTACTTTCAAAACTAGGAATAAAAATTTTCAGGAATATTTCAATAAACCACTATTCACCAATTTCATCACTAAGGGACAAATTACTCATTGCACTTACAAATTACATGCAATGCAATAAAAAAAAAAGCACACTGTTCTCACTGTTTGGCAATAGAACAAGGTACTGTACAGTACTTTCGATAACAGGGATTACTACCTTAGACATCGAGCATCAGTTTACCAAGTGGTGTTGAGTTTTTTGAATCAAAATGCTTACAACACACAATTCTGTAATGTTGTCGTAACAAGTTCCTTTTCGAATTTCAGCTGAAATTCTAAAAGGAAAATTGAGCAAAGAGCAAACATTACATTTTGTATTAAATTTGAGAAGTATGCTGCAGAGATCCTCAAAATACTTCGGAAGGCCTAACAGTAACTAAGCTACAGGCAAGAGCACAATCTTCAAGACCAAGAAGACGAGGCAAATCGGGAGCACGACAAAGAGCACGTCAATCCTTTTTTCAATCATAAGAAACTTTGCATAATAGAAATTTGTTTCTCCCAATCGGATCGGAAATTCAACCTATTGCATAAAGACGTTCATTACAAAAGATAAAAACCAGAACGACCGAACCCGGTTCCTTTGCGACAACGCACCCACGTACGCAGCCTTCAAAGTACAAGCATTTTTGGAAAAAAAGCAACACGACAGTCTTCTCCCATCCTCCTCACTAGCCAAATTTAGCCCCTCGAGATTTCTTTCCGTTCCCCAGAACAAAACGAAAGCACAAGAGTCGACGTTTCGACACGATCGAAGAGATCCGGTCCAAACTGCAACAAGCACTTTGAAATTTTTGAAAAATCACAGTAAAAATTGGCATTCGAAGCCAGGCGGATACATCGACATCACATAAATTAAAGGGTAACTACTCGGATGGGGACGACGGCCAGATATAAATTAAGCATAAAAATCTTCACAAACCACATCCGGTTTCTTTCTCGATCACACTTCGTACAATAAAAGATAAAAAAATAAATAACAAAATAACTTAAGCCGTAAACATAATTACCAACAAACGCAATATTCGGTCTGCACTTTTTAGAAATTACACTTTATCTAACGAAAAAAAATCTAACACAGGTCACTTAAATAACAAAAAAACGATGCCGTCTACACTCGGAGCTAGCAGCCACTACAATCAAACGAATTTACAAATATGAATCCAATATTGCAAATTTTACTTTTAACACAGAAAGAACAATTGGCAATCTCACTTTTACTTATTTATTTAGTATTTTCAGAAAGAGAAGGAAAAATTACATTTTTGGGTGAGAATTCAGAGAGTTTCGGGTCGGAATCAAAAATGAACTTTCGGTAGAGCAATATATCAACCAACAATACAACTTGAAACTATGTTGTATGTGTGTACGAACAATGTATTTATATATGAAGTAGAACGCCTGTAACAATTCATCAAAATATTGACCTTAAAAGACGATTAACTGGCCTGTATTTTGGGGAGACGACATCCACGTAGTCAGGAAACTTAAAATAATTTCGTATAAAACATTGCAAAAGGTATTTTTTATGTAAAGAATGAAAATTTCTGCAACCATCTTACATGCGAGGAAAAAGTTAAACAACAAATTTACACGTCAACAATTAATAATCTACTATTTACATATGAAAATCTTAATTAAAAATGCATAATAAAACTTAATTTCGTTAATTAAAATCGATTGTAATTACCTTAATTTTAAAAAGTTCGATTTCAACCAATTATCCAACCTCATTCGATACCTAAGAAACATTGTTTACCCATAATGCATGTTTTAAAAAAATTTATAATTCAGTATTTAAAATATTTAAATTTTAATTATTATTTTCTAATTTCGCGTATTAGTAAATATAATTCTAAATTTATAATTATGAAAATTTTAATTATTAATAAATTTTAGTAATGGCGCTCTACGACGTCGTACGTCGCTTTGAATGAGTCAGAGGACGACGATCCGGAAAATAGTCGAGAGTTTTTTTTATATTACTTTTGCAATTAGTTATAAATTAATATAATACTTGGACAATTTCTGTAAGTTATATTTGTTATACGTAATTAAACTTACCAAGATATTATACGAGCGAGTTATGTAACTGATTAATTAGTGAACTTGAACAATTTACTTTAAATATTCGAGATTTGAAGTAAAAAATTATAGATTTATAATAATTTAATTTTAAGAAGATGAAGATGATACATAACTGGAAAATAAAAAGGTTTTGGTAAATCGATCAAGTGTATTTAACAGGTTGTCTCGAGTGATCGCCACCAGTCCTGAAATGTTCGCATTTCTGCATTACACCTCGGCCCTGTTTATTTTCTTCGGAAAGTGTACTCTTCAACGTCAGTTTGACGTCATTTCTTCAGTTTACAATGAACAAGTTTACAAATCGACGTAAAACTGTACACTTTATTGACGAAATGAACAAGTCTCTCCCTTCACTTATTGAGCAAGTTTCTAAATCTGATGGGGATGCACCTGTTTTGGCTCGATTCGACCTCCGAATCTGACCTTATTGGAGCCGTAGAGTGTACCCGTAGGAGCAAAAAAATTAAAGGAATTGTATGTCTACCGGCCACCCTTTGCCGGTTACGTCCCCCGAAATCGGATCGCGTTGCTTTGCATAGATTATTATGTCTAACTATTTAGCTTGCGCGAGTGTGCCAACCTCTGGTAGCCCGCTCGACTGTTTGTGGAGTACTCGATGTTACGTAGTTTTAGGGGGTGTGGGGCTTGCCTCCGCCCAGCACCGAGGTGCACGACTACGCATGGAATGTCAGTCGAGGCCGACGATGGCTACCTTGCGGGATGTGGAGAATAGGCAGTATACCGATACGTGTTAAAAACTGACCTTTGGAGACGAATATCTTGCCGAGGGTCACCCGTATGGGTACGGTTCATTTGACTTTTTTGCTCATAAAGGGGGTCTATGATTCTTGGGGGTGAGAAACCCTCGTTTGGAGCTTGAATCGTACCGTTGTGGAAGATTGATATTCAATTCCTGTCTTAATTAATCTTTCTAATCTATTGTGGACGGTCGAGACGAGTTGTTCCTTGTTTCTTGTCTTTGAGTACGCCCGTGGGATTGGCCTTTCTGGAACGACCAAATGTCGTTTTGGCCGTTTGGCTCGTGTGTACTGGTATTGTACGTTGATTGCGTAACGATTGATCGACCGGTTTGTGTTATGTCGTCAAAAGAGATAAGCGGGCACTTATGTGATTAATCTTATACATTTATATTGGCTCGTGATCTGTAATATATCCATTTTTGTCACATTGCATTGCTTAACTCGGTGTTCCGCAACCTTTTTCTACTCCCGGTACACCTCTGACTCGACATGACTCAACACGGCACACCAAAATTTATTCCCCTCAAAAACGTATGATATGATACTATCAGTAGAATTTTGTAATGCCATAAATCTATTATTATTATTATGTTGAGTTTTGTGAGTTACACTCGGTTGACACCGATGGCTGTGTATTACACCGGACACAGCATAGTAACCAAAACAAGACAAAATTTAAATAAGTGTGTCAGTGTGTGTCTGTATTCAGGAATTTCCTAACAATATTATATGTATTCAATATAGTGGCCTTCTGTAGCATGATGTATGTGTTTCTATTCAATTTTAATGTTCCCAGGCTTATGTGTAGTGTGTGTGGTATGACACCTGTAGAGGAGAGAACGACAGGTATAATAATAACCCTATCCATCCTCCATAGATGCCTTATTTCTTGGGCGAGTTCTGTGTACTTGCTGATTTTTTCACTGCATGTGTTTTGAACATTGTGAGTGTTTGGAACAGATATGTCTATAATTTATGTGATTTTATTGTGTTTGTCAATGAGACATAAGGTAAGAACTATTGTGGTAAATTGTTTTATCTGTGATTATGGCTGTCGCAGTACATTTTGTGCGCATTGTTTTCCAATACTGTCTGTGGAATGTATTTCTAGTATGGTTCATGGATGTTTAATAATTTGATGTTTCTTCGCAAGCTCTTGATGTATTTGCTACTTCATTATGTCTATGTAAATTATCTGTCTGTGCCAAGAATTTGCAACCATAAGTGATGTGTTGTATGGTTTCTGGCATGATGTGACATTTTCTGCACGTGTCATTTGTGAGCGTTGTATCTTTGAGTATGTTTTCTGTAGTTTTTAGTATTTATGACCTGATCCTGTATGGCAATCATGAATCCTTCCGCCTCCCCAAAGAGGCATCCCCGAGCTAACCAGCTATTTGACGCAATTTTGTTAACAAAATCCTGGACCAGGATTTCGTTAACAAAACAGTCGTAAGGATGTCTGCCATGGAATGCCTTTTGAGCCCACGATTGTTTCTCCTCCTTCCTTCTTTTTCTTCTTATTTCAGTTGATATGGAGATGCTAGCCACGTAGGCTCTTCCCATGATTGCTTAACGATGTCTATGCTATTTATATGTTGTGTCGTGTCCATACGTTGTGAATGTAAATTTAATGGTGTATTATTTGAGTCTGCTAGAGTTACTGCTTTATGCAACTGTAATGTTTCTTGTTTTTAGTAGAAAAACTCTCGCAATGTCTGTATTTGTTTGTAGTGGAGGTTAACTATGTCGATCAGGCCACATCCGCCATCTTTACGTGGAAGGGTTAATCTTTCTATGACAGATTTAGATGATGTTGTTTATGCTTAGTAAGTGTTCTTGTTTCCATTTGGAGTTGCTCGAGATCTGTGTGAGTCCAATGTATAACTCCAAAAGAATAAGTGAGTACTGGGATGACATATGTGTTTATTGCTGTAACATCATCTTATTTCATCAGTGAATGAAATACAAGCATAATAAACATAACAACTGTGATAAAAATATATAAATAAAACTTGAGATTAATAGAATATGTAAAAGTTCACGTCACACCTTTTACCTTGTGACGGCACACCGGTTGCGGAACACTGGCTTAACTGCCTGTTATACCACATACAGGTATACCTCGCCTTATGTCGGTAATTGGTTCCAGGAGAGGCGACGTAAGTCAAATTTACTTGTCTCCGAATCTACTTGTCACTAGGCTAAACCATAAATTACCATTCCCGGTTCTGTATTTTATTTATTAATGCATTTTTAATAATATATGGTTAATAAGGATCTATTTTAAGCTAAACGATTTCCAACAACTTAACACTGCGTTGAATAATAACAACCCACGAAAAACCTTTTTTTACGAGTGTTATGTCACTATTAAATTCCACAAGTACTTTCGACCTCCACCGAGGTCTGCTTCAGGTGGTGACTGGCCGTGTTTCGACCCGACTGTCGTAACGATGTTGCCAACGATGTAAATAAATAAATAAATGTGCACGTCGGATTTCACCCCTCCGACCGCAGTTGCTCGAACTCCTCGAATAAATACTTCCACACCTGTGCAAGTGTTTCCCCATCCCTGTAGTTGATGCAGTTGCCCCCCATGATAGCTTTGTGAATCTCCCAGGTCTCCAGGTGACGGATGTGATCAGCACGGAACGCGGTCTGATAAGTTTGGTGTTCCGGAAGTCCGCCCTTATTTCAGGGTCGGTGACATAGGTCGATAAGGCAGTGGTGTGTCTTTTATGCTTAATTTCAGCTTGGTGTTCTCGTATTTGTTTCTGTGTTGATCGGATGGTGGAGCCAATGTAAACTAAGTCTATTGAATCTGTCGTCCCGTACGGGAATGGAGTAAACACCTGGGGCCCTGGTGAGATCCATTGCGTCCTTTGCGTTGCGCAGCAAGTCGTAAAGCGTGCCGGTTCTTAAGTACGCGATTTTGGTGCGGCTGTTGCTAGCGATCTCTCTATATAAGGGGTCTAGATGCCGGTTGAAGCGGACGACCGCGCGTCTCGCGTTTCCATCCGGTTGATGGTTTATTTATTTACATCGTTGGCAACATTGTTACGACGGTCGGGTCGAAACACGGCCAGTCACCACCTGAAGCAGACCTCGGTGGAGGTCGAAAGTACTTGTGGAATTTAATAGTGACATAACACTCGTTACAAAGGTTTTTCGTGGGACACCACCTGAAGCAGACCTCGGTGGAGGTCGAAAGTACTTGTGGAATTTAATAGTGACATAACACTCGTAAAAAAAGGTTTTTCGTGGGTTGTTCTATTTTAAGCTTACGAACAAATAAATTTTAGTTTTTAATATAGTACAGAAAAAAGTAATCTAAATTTACGAATGCATGTGCTGTAAATACAGTACATACTTGTAAATGTATATATTTTAATATGATTTTATGTGCTTTAAACACTTTTCTAGTGATATTATGACTTCAATATTTGTGGCAAACAGACATAAAGTCGAATAAAATGACTTAAACTTGATTTTTATTTTTCCATATACTTTTTTGACAAACAACGTATAATTGGGAATGACGTAACTCGAAACGACGTAAGTCGAGGTATATAACTTTCAGTGTTATAAAAAATGATAGCAATAAAATGAGATAAAATCTGTAAGTGTGAGATTGAATTGTGTTTGATTGATTTGTTGAAGCAAATGTTGACTTTATTATTGGGATATTATTGATTTATAATACTGTTACTTTGTTTGAATATTTACAAAATTTTTCTATGCCTCTAATAAAGAATACAACAAAACTTGTGATTTTCCAAATATGAGAGGGAATATTTTTAAAGATTCTGTAAAAATAAAATGTAATTTTCTATTCTGGGAGATAGAAATAGGGTCTTTGAATGGAAAATTTTATTTTAATAATGTAAACAATAACAAGCTGGTTTATCAATTTTGTCCTTTTTTTTTTTTTATTTCACAATATTTAGGAAACAATGGATGCCTATGAATGAAGCAAACTCTATGAGGAAACAAACCAATTTATAGTTTAAATACAACCGAAAACTATTTTAACTTTGTTAACATTATTAAATATTTCTTTCATTAAGAAATGTTTTCAAAAAATAAAAATATATATTCTATTTTCTCAATTTTAAGAAGTACTCTTTTTATTGTTTTGAAATACAGATGTATCTTACATCTGCAGCTGAAAACAGCAA